AATTCACACACGCCGGAGCAGCAGCGAGGTACAGCGCCCCATGTGACGGATTCATGGTGGTGGCAGGACGACCAAGCAGCAGCAGCAGAGCATCACACTTATCATATAAGTAGAGGCGCAGGCGCCATTCTTCCTCTCCCCGGAGACTCTGAGCCAGCCAGCGAGCTAGCTAGCGGCAGCAGGACGGAGGAGGAGGCGGCGGTGGAGAGAGAGATGGGCACGGGGTGGCGGAGGGCGCTGTGCACGTCGGTGAGCCGGGACGACAGCAGCGACGGCGGCGGCAGCGGCAGCGGCAGCGCCAAGCGCCGCCCGCCGCCCGCGCGCGGCGACGCGCCGGCGACACCGCGGAAGCTCGCCTTCTTCTCCGGCATGGGCGGCGGCGGCGGGGGGAGCAACCCGTCGACGCCCGCGCTGCGGTGCCGCACCAGGCCGACGGCGGAGCCGGAGAGCGTGGCGCCCGTGACGCCGCCGCAGCCGGCGTCGGCGCCGGTGTCGGCCAGGAAGCGGGTGCCGCTGCTGCAGGCCATCTCCGCGCCGTCCTCGCCCAGATCCCCCTCCAGATTCGCGCTCTTCAAGGCCTCCATCCTCCCCACCAAGGTAACAACCATCCAAAGCCCCCATTTTTCTCCCCAACTCCCCGTCTTCTTCCTCCTCTAGTCAAGTCCCGAGACGAGAGCTCCCGAATCGAATGCAGTATGGTTATCGTGTTGCTTGTCGCTTGCAATGGCGGGTGGCGCTCGGCGATCCCCATTCCCGTTTCCCAGTGGAGCAGAGCATGGGGATCAATCATTGCTCTGTTTTGTCCTAATCCCCATTCATCTTGAGATTCGATTCTGCTCGTGATTATCCAATTATTATAACCGCAGCAGCTTTCCAATCCCCACTTCTCCCTTTTGTTTTTCCCTCCGTGCCACCTTTTCTCATCATTCCTCGAACGAGATCTCCTTTCGGCACACCCCCAATTCGGCTACGCTACAAACAAATCCGTGAACTCTCCAAGTTGTTGCTCGAGAACTATATGTTCCAATGGAAGCGGAAGAAAGAATCTCATCATTTGGAGGGAGATGAAGATGATGGATGCAATCAGCAACCGTGTGATGGGAGAAGAAGGACAAGGTAAAAGGCTGCTCTGCTCCTCCTTTGTGTGAAGTGAAAGAAAGAGTGCGAGGTCGAGCCTAGATGGGGAAAAGTTGCTTCGGATCGGATCAGATCAGCTTTACCGTGATTCTGATTTGAGCAGCCGTCCAATGATTTTCAATCCTAACTCAAATCCTACTGCAGCTACTGCCCTAAAAGAACGAACGCAAAATCTTTTCCTCATCCCGATGTTGCTTTAGCTCATGGTTTTCATGGAATGATTTTTTACTTGTTTATCTTCTTCTTCTTCCATGGAGTGGGTGGGTGATTGATCGGTCTTTGTCCGCAGGCACGGTGCGGCGTGTGCACCCGGGGCGTCAAGAACGGCGGCGGGGCGGCGGTGTTCACGGCGGAGTGCTCCCACTCCTTCCACTTCCCCTGCATCGCGGCCCACGCGCGCGCGGCGGCCTCCGGCGCGCTCGCCTGCCCGCTCTGCTCCGCGCCGTGGCGCCAGGCGCCGTTCCTCGCGTCGCTCCGCCTCCACCTCGACGTCGACGGCTCCCCGCACCGCAAGCGCAGGACCTCCGACGACTCCCGCATGGCGCCGCCGGCGACGACCAAGGCCGCAGGCGTGCCCAAGGTGTACGACGACGACGAGCCGCTCCTGGCGCCCAAGTCCGCCGCCAACGGCAGCGGGTTCAACCCGATCCCGGAGGCCGACGAGGACGACGACGAGGGCGAGGAGGCCGGCCGGGAGGGCGAGTTCCGGGGCTTCTTCCCGCACCCGCCGCGGGCGCGGACCGGGCTGGCGGTGACCGTGGCGCCCGAGGCCGCGCTGGTGTCGTCCGGCCGGAGGCACGGCAAGTACGTGGTGGTGGTGAAGGTGAAGGCGCCGGGGCTGCGGTCGTCGGCGTCGCGGCGCGCGCCCATCGACCTGGTGACGGTGCTGGACGTGAGCCAGGGCATGATGGGGGAGAAGCTGCAGATGCTGAAGCGCGGGATGCGGCTGGTGATCGCGTCGCTCGGCCCCGCCGACCGCCTCTCCATCGTCGCCTTCTCCGGCGCCGCCAAGCGGCTGATGCCGCTGCGCCGGATGTCGCGGCAGGGGCAGCGGTCGGCGCGGCAGATCGTGGACCGCCTCGTGGTGTGCGCCGCCGCGCAGGGGCAGGAGCAGGCGCAGAGCGCCTGCGCCGGCGACGCGCTGCGCAAGGCCACCAAGGTCCTCGAGGACCGCCGCGACCGCAACCCCGTCGCCACCGTCATGCTCCTCTCCGACACGCAGCAGCAGCAGCAGGACGCGAGGAAGCACGGCGACCACCACCACTCCCTGCGCCGCCCGCAGGCGGCTCCGGCGGCGGCCACGCGGTTCACCCACGTGGAGATCCCCATCGCCGGGCCGGCCGACGACGCGCCGGCGCGGTCGCCGCTCGCGCCCAAGGAGGAGCACCTGGAGTCGAGCGCCCCCGCGGAGCACGCCTTCGCGAAATGCCTGGGCGGGCTCGTCAGCGTGGTCATGCAGGAGGTGCACCTGGAGCTCGCCTTCCCGACGGGGGAGATCACGGCGGTGTACTCCTGCGGCGCCGGGCAGCAGGCCGTGGCCCTCGCGGGCGGCGCCGGCGGCAACGGCGGGTCGGCGCTGAGCGTGCGGCTCGGCGAGATGTACGCGGAGGAGGAGCGGGAGCTGCTGGTGGAGCTGCGGGCGCCGCTGGGCGCGCACCCGCACTCGCTCTCCGTCCGGTGCGCCTACCGCGACCCGGCGTCGCAGGAGACGGTGCGCGGCGCCGAGCAGCCACTGCTCCTGCCCCCGCTCCACGACGGCGGCGGGAACTCCTCCACCTCCTCACAGCAGCGGCTGCACGACCTGTTCGTGGCGACCCGCGCCGTGGCGGAGTCGCGGCGGCTGGCGGAGCTGAGCGACTTCTCGACGGCCACGCACCTGCTGTCGTCCGCGCGGCGGCTGGTGCTGCAGTCCCCGCCGACGCAGCAGCAGCAGGACCTGCTGGGCGGGCTGGACACGGAGCTGAGCGACATGCGGTGGCGGCGCAGCCAGCAGCAGCCACCGACGCCAACATCCCGGTCGGCAACGCCGTCGGGCACGCCGCGGGCGTCGTCGGGCGGAGGAGGAGGGGGAGGGGGCGAGCCGCTGACGCCGACGTCGGCGTGGCGCGCGGCGGAGCAGCTGGCGAAGGTGGCCATCATGCGCAAGTCCATG